TAAATTCATGGCAGTTTCATTGATATTTTTTGGTAAATAGATATTTACTATCGTTATTTCCATAACGCAAAGCAGCAATGATATTTACAAAATATAATAAAACACTGACAGCAATATTGATTATTCGGTCTATGGAATATCAACAAAGCCATGTCATATATAAAAAAAATTGTAGAGGGAAAATGTTAGGAGCGATAATTCTATTTGAAACACGATTTTTCACTTATAATTAAACGAGAACATTTATTTGTCGCAGTAAACTTGACATTCCAATTTTGTCTACTCGTCCAAGAAAAACTGTATTTTCTGGACTTGTTACGTAGATTTTTTTGTGCACAAAATGTTTACTTTGATATTCAATTTTGTGTTTCAATCTGGTTGGAAATAAGTCCTCTATAACTTCGCGATCCCAAAATCATCATATACAGAGTGTCCGGAAATTATGCGCAAAAAATTAAGAGGTACGTGGGTCCAGAAATGCATAGTTTTCAACATACACTGTGTTGAAACTTTTAGAAAAAAAATTGTTTTTTTATGAATATCTCAAATGTCCTTGCACCGATTTCCTCGAAATTTGGCGATGATATTTTAATCTCATGAGGGGCTGATATAGTCATAATTCAATTGGGAATATGAAATCCAGTGGCGTGCCGGGGGCAACCTAACGAATATTATTGTCAATAAAATGTGCGAAACTGATTTTGGTTCCCTGAATTGTTTTGATAATTTGCTTCATGGTAATAAAAAAAAATACCAATTCATCGCATGAATTTGTGCCAACCAATTCCTTCAAAATCTGGGGTGGAAATAAATGCGTGAGATCAATGTCCATAGATATAGAATAAGTATGGAGATTCATTTTCTTCAAATATTTCTTGATACATGTTTGACACACTCCACACTCTGTATATTGAGAACTATGTATTCTCGGTCCAGGAAGGCGTAGTTTTAGATAATACATATATCATAAAATATTTGAAGAAAATGAATCTCCATTCTTATTCTACGTCGATGGACATGGATCACACATTCAATTTCACCCCTCTTTTTAGAGCAATGTTTTGCACAAATTTATACAATGAATTGGTATTTATTTTTTTCCACGGGAACGCAGCAAAATAGCAAAGTAATTCAAGAGAGCAAAATGTTGTATTTTCAAGTATTTATCAGGATATGAAGATATAAAATTTGAAAAAAATCAGTGGAGCACATTTTATTGACAATAGTCGATAGGGTGCCCCGGGACGTTACTGGATTTCACAATTCCAATTTAATCATGGCAAAATCAGCCCCTCATAAGGAATAATATCATTGCCAAATTACAAGAGAATCGGTGGCAGGATATTTGAGATGTACATAAAAAACCGATTGTTTCTAAAACGTTCAACGCACTGTATCTTGAAAACTATGCATTTCCGGTCCCAAGTATATATGAGCTCAATTCCATGTTTTCTCATGCATAATCACCCTCTTGATTTTTCGCGCCTGATTTCCGGACACCCTGTATAATTGATGAATCGACTTAAAAACCATTTATTGCATTATTTTCACGAAATCATCCGTTCTTATTATCACCTATCAATATGGATACCAGAATTCGTGGACGACGACGGTATTATCAAATTTCTAACAATATTGATATAATATTGCTCATCAAGTGTTAATTCAATCAGAGTTATTTCTGAAATCCACTCGATTGAAATTACACCCGAAAATTTTTCACTGTGTAGGTTCCGCTTAGTAGCTGGAAAACTCAGAGCAAAGTTTGGTCGCTGTCATGATGACACAATTACAACGGCTTATGAAATTTTTCATACATGACTATTGAAATGAAATAAACTCTTCATGAAAATGTACATCTTATATATAAACCACAAGTCTTACTATGGATCCTAACACCTGGAGGGTAACATTCAGCCCGAGGGATGAATGTTGCCCGATATAGTTGTTTACCTAACAAGTGCGGAAAAGTCACGTTACGCACGTATTAGGTACACTATTTTTGCTACTAGCGTGCGGAAAAAACCAAAAGTTGTTGACATAAAGAAACATTTACTATTATTAAATATTTAAATGTCAGTATACTTTCCAGAAACTCCAAGAAATTACTTTTCTGCACTAGTGCAGAAATGATATAATGTGTAACGGGAGGGAAAAGAACTTTTTCTACTACTGCTATGAAAAGTAGCGCATTTCTCATAGCTTACTTTGTTTCAAAACCATATATTGCTCATACTGTGAGAAATATTTTTTCTCACGGCACTTTGCCAACACCACATACATGTCCATGGAGAATCAACAAAAATCGAGCAAAACCCAATTGGCTGGTGTTCAGCTCTGAATAGTTATCACAACTGTCAGAAAAAGTGTTTTAAACTCTTTAGGGTAGTATTCTCATTAGTGCTTCTGATAGAAATCGCAGTTTCCATCAAATATTATTCCAACAATTCATAATAAATAATATGATGTATATACCGAGATGTGACGATTTTGATAAATACATCGCCAGAGACAGAGATAATGGAATAAACTGCGAAAATTGGATTTGTTTCCGGAAATTTCAAGAAAAAAGTATGAATTAGCATGTACGAAAAATTCATGGAATCTAAAAAAAATACAGAAATAAAATCTTTTTCGGAAAGTGGACTCTTTTGAAATACTTTGAGGAACTAGGAAAGGCGTCTACTCTTTGGTCACAATATTCAATGTGGCATAGTGTCACATCATAAAATAAATAGCGATAAGTTACATTACTTGGATTCTTTGGATAAGTGCAGTTGTAGAAAAAGTATAGTGTGCGACATGTGGGTAATAGTACTTTTCTTACTCGTGTGTTTGCATCACTCACCCTTCAGGCTCGTGTCACCAACTTCCACACTCGTGAGAAAAGTTGAACTTTCCCCACTTGTTGCACAAATTACTATTCTTCAAAATGTTGCATACTATAGTTTTTCTACAACTGCTCAAATTCTGAGAATGCAGGCAATGTAACTTGATATTCATTTTTATGGCTGTCAAAACTGAAGTAACGTCAAAGCATTTAACCTCTTAACATTTGAATAATTTATCAAAAATTATACTAATAGTGAAATTTGTACAATTCGGTATCGTCATGAATGTTTTCTCACTTTCCAGAATAGGTTTCATTTTTGTATTCCTTTTCCATTCCATAAACTTTCCGTATGCTAATTCGTAATTTCTTCTTAAATTTCCCGGAAACTAAAAATTCTAATGTTACTTCTGCAGCTTTTTCCAATATCTCTGGCAGAGTATTATCTTAATCAACGCAATTTTAATCAAAGCATTAAAATGAAAATCACCTATAGGAATTTGAAAAATTTCTGCTTTGAATAGTTGTCACAACTGTCAGAAGAAGTTTTTTGAATACTTCAGGGTAGTTCTCATTAGTGCTTGTGATAGAAATCTCATTTTCTATCAAATATTATTCCAACAATTCATAATAAATAATATGATATACAGTGTCATTCATAAAGTCGGCATCATATGGGAAAAACTTTTATTAATGACTTATTTTGGGATTCGAGTTGGACGTTGAATTTTGCTTCAAAAAAGATGAAAAATGGCATACTCAATCGGGGTCACGTGACTTTCGCTACATGTCAAAAGTGACATTTTTTCAAATTAATCGCTGAAAGTAGGCTTATTTGTTCGAAAATCGAAAATGTTCATTCGAAAAAGTTGTTTCTATTTCAATTTTACACATGGTTCTCGAATTTGATCTTTCTATCGCAATTTTTTGATTTTGATTTTTTTTTAATTTTTCGAAATTTCTGTAATATTTGAAGAATTGTTAATTCCACGAAACTACTTCATACCAGAAACTTTTTTATGCTACTTACTTTCAATTAATCATCATCACTGATTATGGACAGAAATATGATTTTCTTCAGAAAATGATAAGACCCGCTTCCAAATTCTGTTATGTTTGATGCAAATTGATACATCGTCAAGGTTTTAGAAACGAAATTCATTTGAACTGATCTTTTTAGTACTGAAAAAATAAATTTAAATGAATTTCGTGTCTAAATGCTTGACTCAAACATAACAGAATTTTGAAGCGGAGATTATCATTTTCTGAAGAAAATCATATTTTTGTCGATAATTGATGATTATTAGTAATTGAAAGTTGGTAGCATGATGAAACTACTGGTATGAAGTAGTTTTATCGAATTTACAATTTTTTTTAATATTACAGAAATTTCGAAATTTTTTAAAAAATATCCAAATCTAAAAAATGTAATAGAGAGATAACATCTGAGTCACATATGTAAAATTGAAATAGAAACAACTTTTTCAAGTAAACTTTTTCGATATTCGAACAAATAAGCCTACTTTCAGCGATTAATTTGAAAAAAATTCACATTTGACATGTAGGGAAAGTCACGTGACCCCGATTGAGTAGGCCATTTCTCATCTTTTTTGATGCAAAACTCAACGTCCAACTCGAATTTCAAAATAAGTCATTGATAAAAGTTTTTCCCATATGATGCCGACTTTATGAATGACACTGTATATATAACGATTTTGAAAAATACACCGCCAGAGACAGAGATAATGGATGAAGCTGCAAAAGTTGGATTTGTTTCCGAAAATTTCAAGAAAAAATTATGAATTGGCATGAACGAAGAATTAATGGAATCTAAAGAAATACAGAAATAAAATCTTTTTCGGAAAGTGTACTTTTTTGAAATACTTTGAGGAACTAGGAAAGGCGTCTACTCTTTGGTCACAATATTTAATGTGGCATAGTACCATATTATGAAATAAATACCAATAAGCTACATTACTAGGATTATTTGAATAAGTGCAGTTGTAGAAGAAGTATAGTGTGCAACATGTGGGGAAAAGCACTTTTCTCACGAGTGTTGTTGTTGCACAAAATACTATTTCAACACTAAACTGAGTACGGAAAATAGGATATTTCCACACACTATTAGAAAAAACTTTTCAATTATTATAAAAACTGTTAAAAAACTCACTCCAGTTAACATTATATTTGATTTCCTTCTTCATTTTCTTATATAGTTTCCTACAGCACACACCGCCCCTCACTGTCTTCGGAAAACAAATTCCGAAACTTCCACAAGTTTTCACAAAAATGTCAGTCTCATACGAACAGTGGCACAATAATATCTTTCCTTGAACAATAAAATATCGAAAAGATTTCCGGCTGTTTTAAACGTCGTGCTACAGGGTGATAGTGGGGGTCGTGACGTATCCTGAAGTGTTTAGTTGTGTCACAGGTCTTGCTGTTCCATCGTTGCAGACATGGCCGACTATGATTATTATCAAGAGTCGGTTTTTAGGTATATTATATTCACTGTGTGTACACGTTGTTGATGCCTTCCATTCACTGATTATCGAAAAGTGGGGCAAGTTCTGTTGTAACGATCGTGTTAATTGATGTATCTTATCCCAGGCTAATGAAATATATCGATGGCTTATTGGTATAGTTCACTTCATCTATGGATGTGTTTTGATATCTTCCTGATATCAAGATGCATGATGTATCGAATTGTGTTGGTTTTGGTTCGATAATATTTTTTCGAGATATTCATTGTGATGTCGATTACAAGAAAATTGCCTTTGAATGGGCTCCATCAGTCTGATTACTAAACAGTTATCAAGTCAAATATGAACAGAATAGTCTCTAAGATGATTAGTGTATGTTGAAGACAAATAAGAATAAAAAGTACTGTTTGTAAGTTAATCGAGGAGGTGGTAGTACATTCATTTTTCCAAATCTTTTTTGGGATTTTCTCTCCTCGTCTCAAAAATAAAAATATCAATATACGTGTAGCTAGGATGAATCAGATGATTTGCCCCTAAATGTCACTGCGTTCAAAGAATTTTTCTGTCAGAGAGCCTAAAAGAAAAAACTCACTAGCTTGTCAGCGACAATTTGTATTGAAAAATATTTGGAGATGAGGAATGGAGGTATACAGATAAAATATCAAATTTTTACTTATCATTGGTGACGTTGCCAATCAAGTGATTTACAGGATATTTTCATTAATTAATCTTGAATTCACCATTTCCATTTTCATATTTCAGTAGTGAATACCATGTTGTTCTATCTATATCACTGAACAAGAAGCAAGGCTATTGTCTCCCTTCAGAAGAATTCAAGCAGATTCCTTGATTTTTCTCTTCTTGTTGTTATCTTCTTTTCCAATTTTTTAATATTATTCCACTCTGCCATTTTTTCTCCATCTTCAGTGAGGCTATGTTCAGCTAGTTTCGATTTGTGGATATGTCTTTTCTTTAAATTGTATTTATGTTCCTTCGTCCTTACTGAGAGAGGTCTCTTGGTTTCACCTGTATAAAACTTTCCACAAACACAAGGTATACTGTAAATATAATTTTTCGACGATTGTTCTTCATTTTTCGGTTTTGTTCGAGTTAGAATTGATCTCACTGTATTTTCAGTATTGAACACAGTTTTCACTTGGAATTTATCTGAAAAAATAAAACGTTTTGGTCACTATGAGATTTCTAATAACTACTGATTGCAATACAGTCCAATCAACGAATGGTTTCCGAAAAAACATTCGGAACAGAATTTTATATTTTCGGGTTTCTTTGCAGATGTGATAACAATATCTCACGAGGTGAGTGATATCATCGCAAAATCTGTTGTTTTTTTTTTTTTCAACGAATATCTACGAAAGTGGAGAATGATTATAGCCAAGAAAAAAACAAAGCTCATAAAATTCTCTACCAAAATGGTTTGATTGATATTTTCGTGGGAACCAGAACATAAAAAAATATCATGAAAAAACCGTATTCACATGCAGAAAAGAGGAAATTACAAGTACCTCTTCCTTTCATGTTCTATCACTCATCAGTACTCTGGGGAAAATTGTAGGGAGCTGTAGCAATTCTAAAAATCTTGTGGAATTTTGAAGACCGTGAAAACCCCTATGATTGTTGCTAATGTTGTACCGTTATATCCAGAAGCCACTTTATGAATTTACACAAACGAAATAATTTACTCAAAATCATCTCCACAATTTTTGATATATTGATGGACCATGTTTCGGACATCACGAGGGTCCATCATCAGCCGACAATGAAATAGTCCTTGAAAAAAAAAATTGCAGGGAAAGTTCGGTTGTACAACGTTCATGCTAATTGATGTATCTTATCCCAGGCTAATGAGAAATATCGATGGCTTATTGGTATAGTTCAATTCATCTATGAATGTGTTTTGATATCTTCCTGATATCAGGATGCATGATATATCGAATTGTGTTGGTTTTGGTTCGATAATATTTTTTCGAGATATTTATTTTGATGTCGATTACAAGAAAATTGCCTTTGAATGGGCTCCATCAGTCTGATTACTAAACAGTTATCAAGTCAAATATGAAAAGAATAGTCTCTAAGATGATTATAGTGCATGTGGAAGACAAATATAAGAATAAAAAGTACTGTTTGTAGGTTAATCGAGGAGGTGGTACATTCATTATTCCAAATTGTTTTGGGATTTTCTCTCCTCGTCTCAAAAATAAAAATATCAATACTATTTCAATATACGTGTAGCTAGAATGAATCAGATGATTTGCCCCTAAATGTCACTGCGTTCAAAGAATTTTTCTGTCAGAGAGCCTAAAAGAAAAAATTCACTAGCTTCTCAGCGACAATTTGTATTGAAAAATATTTGGAGATGAGAAATGAAGGTATACAGATGAAATATCAAATTTTTACTTATCATTGGTGACGTTGCCAATCAAGTGATTCACAGGATATTTTCATTAATTAATCTTGAATTTACCATTTCCATTATCATATTTCAGTAGTGAATACCATGTTCTATCTATATCACTGAACAAGAAGCAAGGCTATTGTCTCCGTTCAGAAGAGTGCAAGCAGATTCCTTGATTTTTCTCTTCTTTTTGTCATCTTCTTTTGCCATGTTCTTAATAATATTCCACTCTACCATTTTTTCTCCATCTTCTGTAAGGCTATGTTCAGCTAGTTTCGATTTGCGGATACGTCTTTTCTTTAAATTGTATTTATGTTCCTTCGTCCTTACTGAAAAAGGTCTCTTGGTTTCACCTGTATAAAACTTTCCACAAACACAAGGTATACTGTAAATATAATTTTTTGACGATGGTTCTGTATTTTTCGCTTTGTTTGAGTTAGAATTGATCCCATTGTATTTTCAGTTTTGAACACAGTTTTCACTTGAAATTTATCTGAAAAAATAAAACGTTTTGGTCACTATGAGATTTCTGATAACTACTGATTGTAATACAGTCCAAACAACGAATGGTTTCCAAAAAAACATTTGGAACAGAATTTTATATTTTCGGTTTTCTTTGCAGATGTGATAACAATATCTCACGAGGTGAGTGATATCATCGCAAAATCTGTTGTTTTTTTATTTTTTTCAACGAATATCTACGAAAGTGAGGAATTCATTATAGCCAAGAAAAAACAAAGCTTATAAAATTCTCTACCAAAATGGTTTGATTGATATTTTCGTGGGAACCAGAACATAAAAAAAAAATCATGAAAAAAACCGTATTCACATGAAGAAAAGAGGAAATTACAAGTACCCCTTCCTTCCATGTTCTATCACTAATCAGTATAGTACTCTGGGGAAAATTGTAGGGAACTGTAGCAATTTTAAAAATCTTGTGGAATTTTGAAGACCGTGAAAACCCCTATGATTGTTGCAAATGTTGTACGGTTATATCCAGAAGCCACTATATGAATTTACACAAACGGAATAATCTACTCAAAATCATCCTCACAATTTTTGATATATTGATGGATCATGTTTCGGACATCACGAGGGTCCATCATCAGCCGACAATGAAATAGTCCTACAGAAAAAAACAAAAAATTGTAGGAAAAGATCTGTTGTATAACGTTCATGCTAATTGATGTATCTTATCCCAGGCTAATGAAAAATATCGATTGCTTATTGGTATAGTTCAATTCATCTATGAATGTGTTTTGATATCTTCCTGATATCAGGATGCATGAAAAATCGAATTGTGTTGGATTTGGTTCGATAATATTTTTTCGAGATATTTATTTTGATGTCGATTACAAGAATAATTTCCTTTGAATGGGCTCCATCAGTATGATTACTGAACAGTTATCAAGTCAAATATGAACAGAATAATCTCTTGATGATTAGTGTATGTGGAAGACAAATAATAATTAACATCAAAATTCAAATGGATCTCGATATCACTCATAAACTGAAGAGCTATAGATTTTGAGTGTTCATATAGTGACTATTATATGTCATACTAGAGATTTCTGATAACTGCTGATTGCAATACAGTCCAACCAACGAATGGTTTTCAAACAGACATTTCGGAACAGAATTTTTTATTTTCGGATTCCTTTGCAGGTGTGATAACAATATCTAACGAAGTGAGCGATTGGTTCATATCATCCCAAAATATCATTTTTTTCAGTTTTTCCAACGCATATCTGACGAAAATGGAGAATAATCATAGCAAAGGAAAATAAAGCTTATAGAATTCTTTACCGGATTTGTTTGATTGATATTTTCGTCATCCACACAGTTTTCTAGACTCTAGAGGCATCATGAATAGACACCGTATTAACATGAAGACAACAGGAAATTACTAGTACCTCTTCCTTCCATATCCTATCACTTATTAGTATAGTACTCTGGGGAAAATTGAAGGAAACTGTAGGAATTTTGAAAATCTCGTGGAATTTTAAAGACAGTGAAAACCCCTATGATTGTTGCTAATGTTGTAATTTTTCGTTATTACTATTATACTCAGTAGCGACTGTGACAATTTATACAAACGGATTGATTTACTCAAAATCATGTCCACAATTTTTGATATATTGATGGAACACCGTAGAAAGGTCGGCGACCTTTCACTTTTCTATCGATACTTCCACGGGAAATGTTCTTCGGAAATCTCTGCTATCATCCCTTCACTAGCAATACCAATCAGACGAACTAGACAAGCCCAGTCAGCACATCCTTTCGTTGTCAACCTCGAAAGATGTCGACCAGCACTTTATCAAGACTCTTTCATCCATAAAACGGCTAGGCTCTGGAATTCATTGCCTGTGGAAGTATTCCCAACAACATATAATCTCCAAAAGTTCAAAAAATATTCCAATACCTACCTCCTGTCCCTATCCTTCCTAGGAACGCACGATGTTCCTTGAACATTATAGGGATTCCTTTTCGTGCGCTCCAATCGATAAAAAAATCATCAGCCGACAATAAAATAGTCCTATACAAAAAAAAAACTGAAAATTTGTAGGAAAAGTTCTGTTGTATAATAATAATAATAATTATAGTTTATTCATCGAATAGATACAATTTGATATTAATCAAGCAATAACATCAACTTTAACCTAATAAAGGTTATGTAGGTACATCCGATAA